TTACTTAATGGAAACACTGCAGTTGTGAAACTGTGTTTTTGACATTAACAGAATATCGACAAAATTTTGCGCACATTTGTAATGGAAACGCAGCTTGTGACATGCCTGTCCTTCAAATACAAAAACTCATAGAAAACATCTTTATACTTAAGAAACCTGACATGATACACATGATTTTACTCATTTTGTCACATAATTGGCATATTTTCTTTTGGATTTGGCTCAGCCAAAGTGAAACAGGAAGTGACATCAAAGGGGAATTCTGGTCTCTTTTTATTAAAACAGTATAATTTAAACTTTAACTCTTCGTCTGTGATTGATAGAGACTCAAAATAATCTAAAGAAACATCAGATTCTTCTCTACAGTCTGTGTTATCAGCTGTTTTAACAATGTTTACATGCAGACAGTCCCCTCTGACATCACTTCCTGTTTCTTCACAGGCAAATATCTCAACAACCGTTCATCTCAGGGGCGTGAAATTTGTTTTTTACTGTTTTATCAAATGTTATGTTTTTAAAAAKGCATTCATRTTTATTACAAAAATTTAATGTCACAGGCCCTTTAAAGTCTATCTTCTCTCGTTGGGCCGTCTCCCACGTTCTGTTTTAGCTCAGGTGTGTCTCAGCTGTTACCTGCTGCTCTTTCAGGTGGAGTTCTCCTCCCTGGACTTCCTCCTTCACACCAAAGCTCTGCTGGCCACCGTCAGCTACCTGAGCAACGCCACGCCGCCGCAGCTCCCAACCGCCCGCGATCAGGAAGCCAAGAAGCAGGTGGAGAGCTCAGCCCAGAGCCGGACAGGTGAGTCTCCTCTGCCTGCTCACAGGTGTGCCTGTGAGATCATAAGTAAAGTTTTATTTATATAGCGCCTTTCACAGAAATAAATTCACAAGGTTACAATCAGGGAAGGGGGGCAGTTAAGAAACACCCATTCAAGAAGACATACAAGACAAACATGGGGGAACAGGTGAAACCGGTCTTGCAGCAAACACAGTTGCGCTACCTTTAACAAGAGAAAAACTAAAAACCACACAAGGGAAGATGAGGGGGGAAAAGATCATCATCTGACAGGAAGTGTTGCCTTCTGCAGTGTCTAAAGGAGGCAAAGACAGCAGCGTCTTCAGCTTCAAGCTGTTTGCCGTCTTGGGCTGCTTCCATGTGGAGGTGTGTGATGATCGCAGCAAAATCGCTGACATCAGAGTTCAAGGTACAAAGCCAGGTTCAGGTGTGAGCTGAAACCCTGCAGACACACACAGATCACCTGTGAGCTGTAAACCTGCTGATCCTGCAGGAATGGATGGCTCCGTGTTGGTGCGGGCCAAGGAGACCGAGGTGTTCGCTCGACTCCGAGACATCGTGGTCACAGACGCTAACCCCACCACCATCCACAGACAGGTTCTGACAGAAACACACAGATGTTTCAGGACTCACCTGCCCACACCTCAGGCCTTACCTGTCCTCTTCCTGMCCCTCTCAGGCCGTGTCCATCGTGGGGAAGGAGGTGTTCAGCTTCAAACTGTCCCTGCTTCCGGGCGCGACGGAGGGTGACGGCTACAGTGACATGTCGAAGGTGGACGGGAAGATCACGCTGAGTCTGGGCTGCATCCAGATCGTCTACATTCACCAGTTCCTCATGTCTCTGCTGGTCAGCGGCTGCACACACACACACACACACACACACACACACACACACACAC